GCCGAACATCATTCTTGAATGTCTCCTTTTCCCTCACTGCACACATCTAATTGGTCAAGCCCTGTCAAGTTAACTTACTTGGTTCACCTCTGTCATTACCTATATCTTCTGTCTCCTGGACTGGACTAAAACTCAAGACTGGTCACTTTTTTTGCTCCCAACAGTCCATTCACAAAATAGCAGAATGAACCTTTAAAGATATATCCTGTTATGTCACTCCACTGTGTAAAATCCTCTATTTAAATTCAAGTCAGTTAACTTCTTTGTCAGACTTTTCTGTACCTGGCTCGGTGGATGCAAGGCAATGATTGGTATTGAAAATAAATTTTAATCATTCTTCCTTTTCTCTTTTCTTCACTAATTTCTTGTTTAACCTTTGTTTTGCCAGGTGAATTAGTCATGTAGTTTTTCTTTTGTTGGAAAAACTTTTTATACTCATTTCAGATTCATAGAAATGTAATAATCCATTTTAAAATGTATTGAGCAATTTCAGTTTTGAAAGTCATTGGGGGCTGGAAAGAAATGTGGCAATTGATTAATTTATGAATACAAGTCATGAGTAATTTCCAAATAACAACATGAAAAAATAGGACAAGGTAACAGATGACTGATGGATTCCCCCAAAAGGAGCAGTGTGGGTTTAGGGAAAGTAGGTAGTGTGTGGGCATGGTTGGGAAAGGCTGTGCCCTGGAGGACAGCGATGTGGGCTTCAGCCAAGGGACGCGGGGTCCTCAGGAGCACGTCTAGGTGGAAGCAGAAGAGCACCAAGCTGTGGGGGGACAGTGGACAGATGATTTTAACTTGTGCGGAGCATCTGCCAATAAGGCTGAGTATAGTCTTCTCGTGCCTTGAACGCCGAGCTGGGGAGTGTGGGTTTCTTCTACAGGCAGTGGTTCTAATTATTTAATTAGTTGACATATTTTTAATGATTTGAAAATATTCATACATTTGTTTCAGTTTTCTATTGTTACAAATTACAGTGTTGTAGTGGGTCTTTTTAATGTGTCCTTTATAGATTTTAAAATAGCAAATGAACTTTCCTCATTTCTTATGTGAGATCTTTAATGAATTCGAAAGATATTTCCACTTAAAGCACCACACCATTGGAGACGGTATAACACGGACTTTGGATCAGGGACTCTGGGTTGGAAGCCAGTTTTGTAGTGTGACCTTCCTTTGGATAAATTGTTTAACCTGTCTGAGCCTCGGGCAACACCAGTGTCATAGGTCTGTCACAAAGCCTGAAGCATATGATGACGATCTAATGTCTGGTTCTCATAGGTTAGAACGATAAAGGGCAGTGGACCTGTGTGGGGCTTAACAAGTGTTTTTTGTTATAGTGTTAAAGTTTCATCTTTCAAAGGTAAAGGTGGTATCCATAGTGTTTTAATCTTCACATAATGTTTTCCCTGCAAAATATAAGGGAAATATTCATCTACCCTATGTATGACCCAGCAAAATTCCACTCGTAGGTATTTATCCAAAAGAAATGAAAAGCTATGTTAACATACACACACAAAAAACTCTATACAAAAATTTTCATAGTAGCTATATCCACAATATCCCAAAACTAGGGACTGCCAAATTTCCATAGCAAACTAGATAAATAAACAAAATACTGCTCAGCTGTTAAATTAACTACCAATATATGCAACAATATGGAAGAGTTTTCACAAACGTGCTGAAGGAGAGCGGCAGGACGCAAAAGCATGTGCTCTCAACTCCATTGCATGCGGTTCTAGACGAGGCAGCACTAACCTGGGGCGCTGGAGTCTGCCAGGCGCGTCTCGGTCGGGGCTGGCCTGGGAAGGGGCAGGGAGCTTTCTCTGCTGGGAGACGTCCTGGATGTGCGTCGTCACAGGTCACTGAAGGCTGCACTGCAGACCTCACGATTTCACTGCACAAACTATACCTTGGTTTCCAAACACGGCACGAGGACTCGAGTCATGGGAAGCATAGAGGTTCCACGTGACCACTTGGGTCACTGTTGTAAGACAGCATTTTGTAGCCATCGGTTTGGTTGCTTAAGAACATCTTCCTTTGTTATGAAGGGAAAGGTCAGTGTCCATCTCTGTAGAAGTGCTCGCCTTGAACATATTCCACAAAATACTTCTTGAAATGTCTAGAGATACTGTGATTTCAGGATGGCACAGCGATCACCTTTATCTTTGAAGGAAGACGAGAAAATGTGAAATAAAATGGTCTGAGGTCCGGCCGTAGAAAAAACTTTAGTAACTTAAAAACCAGCAAGATTTTTGTCGGAAATTATATTTGAAAAAGAGGTGGCATACACCTTCCACAGTGTTCAGGGAGGTGTCTTGTATACTGTCAAGTTTCATTGACAAAACCATGACAGGAAGGTTGAAATAACCACTTGAGTGTGAAAGTAAGCCTATAGTGAACTGTGCGATTTCCTGAGACACGGGGCACTGTGCTCTGAGTACACAGGGGTGAGGATGCCAGAGTGAAGCTCATTCTGCACTGAGACACCAAGTTCAAGTGGAGCTTTGCCAACTCAATTCTGTGCTCTGCTGGGAGGTGTTAGTGTACCCTGCCATCATGGGAGGAAATCCAGTGTACACACTGTAGTTCCTAATTTGTAAGTGTCAGTGGCCTCTAGTGACATCGTTAAGGCATACCCCACTGACACCACCTGTCAAAAGCTGTGCTGCTCTGGTTTTCACTCTTCGGGAGAGGGGAGGGGGTTGGTCTCTGCTGATATCACTGTGTCACTGCATCTGTTGCTCAGTTTCCTGCACCCTGCAGAAGGCACACACATGCATGCCCCTCCCCCAGTGTCACGCGCGTGTCTTCCACCATCTTTTCTTTGGCCTGCTCCCATGTTTGACACTGCATCTGCTGATGATGCAGTGATGTGGTGTGAGGCACTGTGTCGCATCACTCGTCCACCTCTCTCTCTCCATCAGCTGACATTTTCAAGCGCAGACTACTTTTCACTGTGGACGGTGACCTTAGCATCGCTATTGCTTCTCTTCTGACTTACAAGTTTTATACTTTTACTGGTACTCTATTGTGTAGAGAAATTTAAACTTGAAACTACATGATTAGTTTTAATTTTTAGTATTAGTTTTCAGTGAACAAGTTTAACAAGTTTTATAGTAATGGATTTCCAGTTCTTCTGTTCCAGTGATAGTGTTTCCTTATTTTTATTTTTAACAATTAATTGCTGGTCTTTCAAAGAAATCATGTTGCTTTATTTCCTTCCATCTATACAAGTTCATGGGGATCAAAGAATAATAATTTCACAAGTATGCGAGGATCTCCATTATGTCCTGCAAAGTGGGTTTTTGCAAGGGTGGCAGTGGCATGTTGAACATGGCCTCTCGATGCTTGCACTCGCCTTTTCCTTCAGATTCTTGTATCCTACTAACTGCGAACCACAGTCCCACACTCTGTAGCGCCAGGTCAGAGGCTCGTATCACTCACATGCTAAGGAAGCCGAGCTGTCCTGCCGGCCCTGCTCCTGTCTGAGCGCCGTGCAGTCGGTTACTTTGGAACATTGCGTCCGGAGCCTGAGATGGTGGTAAGACATGAACAGCAGAGTCCTTCCTACCACCATCGGCAGGGGGGCCTTAGTAGGTGGACTTCATCTTCTGCTTTATTTTGCTGTGATAGTTGTAATTTAGGTTGTAGGATTTACACATTTGAGATTGGGTAATAAAATTAAAGATTTCTCATACCAATCATTTAAAAAGTAAGTTTCATCGAGTAACTAGAGGGGGGGGTAGAGGTGAAAGGGGAGATGGGCAATGATAGATGAGAAGTCGTCTCTGTTCTCCAGGAGCTTATCTTGTTAATGGTGATATACATCACACTATAACTCAAGGCAGGAACAAGATAATGTAGGGATGGCCTTTGGAGAAGCTTCCAGGGGTTCTGGCGGGTTTCGAATGTGGTGGGCAGAGGCGGTGCGGAGGAGCTTCAGGATGGAGCTTACGGGAGCATGCGCACAGATGGACAACAGGGTGGTTTTGTTTGATTTATTACAAGATACAGGTAAAAAAAAAAAAATTGGTAGATTAATGAGTTTAACTTGAACATAGTTTGGGGCCAGATCATAGGTAGTTTAAATGGTTTATACTTTTAGATAGTAAGAAACCATGAAGGGTTTTAAGACATAAGATTGTTAAGCATTAAGATGAAAGTTACACTTTGGATAATTAATCTGGCCATTGTGTGTGGATTGATTGGTGAACAGACATCATTAACATAATTTTGTGGTCGTTTTGATAAGGCCCCATTAACGACTAGAACAAGGGAGACATCAGTAACTGGACAGCGTGGGGTGGATCCAAGGTAAATAGGAATAGGATGATGTCTGAACCTTCTGATAATCAGATATGGTCCTGGGCTATTCTGTGTCATAGCACAGTTATTAACAATGCCCTGCTTGCTTCCAGATGTTTAATGATTTGGACAGTACATCAAATGGTGACCCTAAAGATAGATTTGCCTTAAAATTGATAGCACTTGGCTAATTGTGAATTTAGGGGAGAGAGAGCCATCTTTTTTGAGAATAAAACAGAAAATTTTCTTATCTGAATACTACAATCAAATCTTACATGTTTCAAATTCCTGTTTTTGTTTTTTGTCTTTTAATGAGTACATTTTAGCTTTGGAATCTTTAAAAAATAATAGATGCTAAAGAGAACATACTGTATTTAACCTCATCTGACATTTTCATTCATTCCATTTAAAAGCAAAGTCTTTTAGGCAAACTTTAATAAATCAGTGTAGTTTACATTAAAAAGTTCCAAATAGAAATGCAGCAAGTGGCATTTGAGTATCCTGTGTACCCACAAGCCGTCAGTGAGAGACTAGTCTTCAGCGTGCCAGCACCATTGGGTCCCAGATCTCCCCTTCCTAATGGAAACAGGTGGCTATAGTCGTATGATGTCTGTTTTAAGGCTCAAGCGTGGATGTGACTGTGATGTATGGGGACCATCCTAAGGCTCACTGCTCTCTTTTTTTATGCATAGGCAGAGGGAGAAGACAGCCTGAAGAAGATGCAGCTGATGGAGCTTGCGATTCTGAATGGCACCTACAGAGATGCCAACATCAAATCACGTAAGAACGAGACCAGGCCAGGCTGACAGCCGACGCAGCTGTTTGTCCACAAACCTTCCTCCTTTGGGCAGCACAGTTGTACATGACCAGTTTAAACAAAGTGAAGAGTTGAAATAATTGTTAATTGATACAGACTAAGAGTCCCATTTTTACTGCTTTCATGAATTGTGGACATTCTCCTTGATTTTATTTTATTCCAGCATGTCTTTTAAGTTTTGGGTTTATAAGCTTTTATTCTTTTGATGAAATTTCAGCTTCTAAATTCAAGAATTCAATGAATTTTTCTGTTTTGTTAACTGCATATTTAAGGCTTCTAGCTTATTTTGTTACATTTATGAAAAGGACAAAAAATTCAAAAGTTTTTCAAAGCTAATTTGGAATGTATCTGAATGCAGTGCTCCTTCTGTTGAAGTCTGCCCTTTCAACTTGACTGCATGCTTCCCTCTAGTATTTTTCTTTAAAGATTTTTATATGTGAGTTCACAGAGAGCAGTAGGTAATAACTATTTTAATCCAGTTTTCCCTTGTATTTGTGCATGCTTTCATAAACTGTATCAGGATTGATTTATTTGGTATTTAAAATGAAATAACGTAAAATATGTATTTTGAGAAAATTTAAGTTAAATTACTAATTTTTTTTTAAAAGAAATTGACTTTTAAAATTCTAGGCAATTTTCCAAAATGTAGACAACCTGTTGGGTTTAGAAGTGGTTACTTTACAAATGGTTGGCTTCAATTCATTCTTGAGAATCAATGTGTTATTAACAGCATGTATTGAGGAATGGACCATTTATTGTACAGGGTGGTCAAAAGTAGATTTACAGTTGTGTACATGAAACAGTTTATTCTTGTATTATTATTGATTAATTATTGTAGTATTTTCCATACAAAGAACTATAAACCTACCTTTGCCCCACCCTGTATTGTTTTTCAATGAGAAGTTAATTCCTACATATACAGGAAATTTATGTATAAATAGTGGTTAGTTGGCTTACTTAATAAAATATAAATTATTTTTTAATTTTAAACTGTTTCTGTGGACTCCAATTACAAAATATTTTTTTAAAATCTTTTAAATACAAGTGTTTTCTTGACGTCTGCATGCACCTCAAGCCTCATGAGATCTTAAAAACATAGCTATATCAAATATATGAACTAAATATAACCTCTTTTAAAGGTCTCTCTTTGTTTCTTTTTGTTTTACAGTGGCTTTTTAATTTTTGCACATTTGTTCTTAATCATGTGGGGAAAGGGGAAGCCGTTTTTGCAATTGATTGGTGTGCTTTGGCATTGTGTGTGACCAGCGCATGTACTAATGGTTTCCTTTTATTTTTCTTCTTTCCTGCTTTTTTCTTTCTTTTCCCTACTTCCCTCTCATTCTCTGTATTTTACGCTGCTATCTCTACTCCGTCTAAATCTCCTTGCTCACTGCAGCAGCCCTTACCTTTTCTCTTGCAGCGACAGCCCAGGCTGCGCCAAGGATCATCACTGGGCCTGCGCCTGTCCTCCCGCCAGCTGCCCTGCGCACCCCGACGCCCGCTGGCCCCGCCATAATGCCTTTGATCAGACAGATACAGACCGCGGTCATGCCAAACGGAACCCCTCACCCCACTGCTGCAATAGTTCCTCCCGGGCCCGAAGCTGGTCTCATCTACACACCCTACGAATACCCCTACACATTGGCACCAGCTACGTCGATCCTTGAGTATCCTATTGAACCGAGCGGTGTATTAGGTAAGTTGTTTTTTCTCTGTGTGGTTAACCTTTTTCTTCAAAATTTTTGCTGCCCCAGACTTTGAAATAATACCAGTTTTAGAAAGATGAGACAAGTGTCCATTAGGAAAGTCAGAAAATAAATATTTCATCCCCTCATAAGGGTTCTTCTTTTAAATAATTGCATCTTAGATTTGTTCACATTTGCTTTGGTATCTCAGGTTCACTTTGGATGGCTAAATTTGAACATTTCAAACAGAAAATACTTTTCACATTTGACATCACTGAGGTCCTTCTGAGTTTCGGACCCTACCCAATGACATATTTTCTCCTTCAGTTTTGCCACAAAGTTAGATTCTTTTTGTCTCAGAGATTTATTTACTTGTTGGCTAAATTTTCATTATTCCTGTGAAAATATTTTGAGATTTTTAAAATTGCTGTAACTGTGTGAATTTTCTAATATTTGTGATAACTTAAAATATAAAAGGGTCCCAGTAAATAGCTGCATTCTTTAAGTTTTTTTGGTTCTTCTCTTTTGAAGTCCTGGTTAATAGTAAACATAAGAGAAACTCCTCATTTCAGTAGCACGGTGTGGAATAAATGAGTAAATACCAAGTCACTTTTGTTGAGGCAAAAAATAAGATCATACTATAAAACGCTCAGTTTTACATGAACAAAAAGTGGTGTGCTTGAAAAGACATTACTGATGCCTTTTTTTTATAGAGTGGATTGAAATGCCAGTCATGCCTGATATTTCAGCCCATTGACTTGCTGGATGAAGGACTAGAATACAGCAGCTGTTGTAACACGACCAGGCAGTGTGGGACAGGCTGCTTCCATGCTGCCCCTTTGTTTTACCATACAGAACTGAATACCTTTTCCTTGAATTGTGTATGACCTTGGTGCTGCATGCATGCTGTTGACTTTTAGGACTTTGATCTTTTAAGGTTTTTTTTCCAGCATTCATATTGATTTATAAAAATTTGAAAGCCTTTAATGAACCCGGACAAAGACTTAAACTTGAAAGTTCATTGTTCAATTAAAGAAAGCCTCAATGCTCTGTATGTTATCTGTGTGTGCATGCACTCAGGTGCCTTTGGTTTCATGAGCAAATACATTTTATTGTACATGTTTCTGGTTATATCTGAATCATTGTATAAAGTATTCCAGGTCAGAATTATACTATAGAACTGTTTATGAAAGGCTTGTTTCTGTTGCACATTTCTTGAAGCATTTTTAAAATAACATGTAACATATAACCTGTTTACGTTTTCTGTTCTGTTAACGCTCTGTCCTGTGGCCCCATGCTGCTCCTCCCCCAGAGCTCCTCTCTGCTGCACGCACAGCGTCTGTTGGAGGAGTCTGACTGTTGCTTCCTGCAGGGCTGGCGGCTCAGCCCCCAGCTGCTGCTGCAGCTCTCGGAGCGATCACACTGATCTCGCCCTGTGGGATCCGGCTCGCTGAGAGTCGTTTATCTGAGTGTAGACGGGATGACGGACCAGTTTACTGCTTAGGAACAACAAGGGGCACTGCAGAATTCGTTTCTCATTTTCAAGCAATGTCTTTTTGGTTGTGTTGGGAAATTTTTATTTATAATAATTAATTATTAAACTGACAAAAGCAAAATATGCCGATATCTAATTGGCACTCATAAGATGAATAATAATGAGTCCTAAATGACAAAAATCCATTATGACCAATTTTATTTCTCACTTTGCCACCTAAGCAGTAAAGCATGATATTGATGGAACATTTGGAGAATTGAAAAAATTATTTCAAATTGCTAAGTTATAGTAAATTTGCACACAGATAACATGCATGCTGTATATCAAGTCTCACATCATATTATTTTTAAATAAGCAGTGCCCTTCAAAACAGATGCAGACATGTGTGTTGGTGGTAGTGAGGAGATTGGTAATAGCATCAAATCTTCATTGGTGACTAATTTTTAATTCCCTTCCTTTTATCTTTAGGTATGGCTTTCCCAACGAAAGGCTAAGAATTCAAGAACGGTCTTAACTGAACCCTCATCAGATCTGAATTTAACAAATGCTTAGTCTCAGCAGCCTCTGGGGGTGGGTGGGAGGGAAGCTTAGCCTAGCAGTCAGTGACTTACTTGCACTTTTTGCACACTGATAGAAAGTAAAAGTATGTTATTAATTTGGTTTAGTCTATAATCTTACAAAGTAACGGTAATTTATAAAGGAGTGTATAGTAGTATACTGACTGCTAAGTGTACTATACTGTTTGCTTTACTAATCACCTAATTCATTGCAGTTCATACTTATTGACTCAGAGTTTAAAACCACAATCTGTAGGCTTTAAGAATTGCTTATAAACCTTTTTAAGTGATAAACTCTGGAAGTGGTCTTAAGGTTAGCAAGTAATTGTCAGTATTAAACATGGCATTATTTTACGTAGTCCTGCTGCAGGAAAGGCACTTCAGTGAATATGTGACTAGTAAAGCTTAAATGTCTGGGTCTAGTCGAGTTCATGAAATACTGTAACTTGGGATTGTAAATGAATGGATAAAATAGGTTAAGGCCAAGATGTTTGAAGTGAATGCAATATTAATAGACGCATATATACGCAACATATTATGGTTAATTTTAAAACTACTGTGCCTTAACGTGTTTCTTACAACGAAATTTTTGTAGTAAATGAACATTTGAAATCCATTTTGATAAACGTGCTGTTAATGTTTGTTTTTTTCCCCCTTGTGAATGTTTTCTAACTTTGTCTTGGTAATTGCAATTTAACTAGGTGCGGTGGCTACTAAAGTTCGAAGGCACGATATGCGTGTCCATCCTTACCAAAGGATTGTGACCGCAGACCGAGGTTAGTTTAGTTCTGCAGTTCTTGTTTATGAGAAATGCGTTGGGTGGCCATACAATTTGCAACACCACACCTGATAGAAACCGTGTAACTGCTTACCTGCACAGCATTTCTTTCCCTTTTCTAAATTAATTTATAATAATCGACAGATTTAAGGGTTGGGTTATTTTTTTCTCCCTTCATATTTTAACTTATTGAATTCTATTAGTATGTACTATGATTTATTCCTACTAAAACATAAATTAGTCTATTTGGGGAGCTATTAAATTTTGTTTTTGCCTTAATTATTTTTCAGTAAAAATTTTTGCTAAAAGTTACCTTTTAATTGTTCTGAAATTTTGGGTTGGTTTTGCAAAATGAACTTGAGCGGATGGTGCTTTAATGAGAGAAGTAAAGGAATATATGCCTCCTGTGTGTTTCTGGAGAAAACTGAAGATTTAGTTTCCCATTTTCCTTTTCAGTAAGATGTTTGAGCCACTGTATAAACACGAGGTTACACATGCCAAGTACTTAGCTGAAATCAGCAAAGTAAGGACTGTGAAGATAACTTTGCAGTTGGATCTTTTATAAGTCAGAAAATCAGTTCCCTTTTATTCTTATGTTTTATTCCAAAATGGATCCTTTTATTTTTGTCATTTGCTGCTAAAATATATTATCTGAAGGTAAACTATCTCTTGAAGTTCTGTGGTGACATGAATCCAGCTGTTTGAGCATCTTTTTTTGACTAACCTGTGACTGGAAAATAAGTCTTCATTTTTCTCCTTTTCAACATTTGTAATTTGTGTCCTATATATGCCCTTGGACCCTTTTATAAATTATTTATGTTTATTGAGGAGTGACATTTTCGGTTTATTGACATTGGATTGTTTTCTGAGTTTGAAATCACAAGAGAGGAGTCCAGAGCGAGGTAGAAGAGGACTTTCACAAGCTGCGTTTATGGCACATTATTTCCTACTGAGTGTGTTGACCTAATTACCGAGTATCAGTGAGGAAAAGTGATGGATTCACACCCAGCTCTCCATCTCTGTGAACTCGTGGAAAGCCTGCCTGCTTTGCATGGCTGTCCTGAGCACTGATGATCAATACTGGGCACAGCTGTTGTCCACATCAGAACAAAATACCTTTCCAAAGATATCGATCATATTTATTTAGCATCCTATATAATTAAAGAGCCTTGAACACTTTTAACTAATACATTACTTGTAGTGATGGTTAATGAACAAAGTAAATAGACCCCCAAGCTCAGTGATTGTCTGTGAAGATGATTCTTCTGTAAGTGTGTCATGTACAAGTGTGTACAGGACACTTCTCGCAGCAGAACGAGTCTCTTAATGAAGGAGGGGATTTTTTAAAAGGACAAAAAATCATTTAAAGAATCCAGATAATTCCATGAGTAATTAGAAGCTATTTTCCTTAGTTATTGTCTAAAATAGTTATGAGTATTTTAAAGTCGTTTGTCTTCTGTTAACCTTTCCTTGTAAGCTCCTTTGAGATTTTTCATTATTTTATTTTAACATAATTATTGGCCTACTTGATACTCCAGTACCTTGAGGTAGTTGAAAATATTAGGAAGATTTTATTGTATTTCAAAACAAGAACACATTCCATGTATGGCTCTTTCATAGTTACATGTGTTTTGATTAGTCTTGTCACTGTTTTTATTCAGAATGCAATGTCAGCAAACCGAAATGCTACCTTTTTTTCTCTAAATAGCAGAGTACTCTAGATACTGACTGCCGTCACTGTCCCTGTGCGCTCACTGAGTCTGAGGGCGTCTGGAGGCCTTTGTTTAAATTATTTTATGATACTACTGTGTTCTCTATTTTGAGGTTTTTTTATTTTTAATCTTTTGAAGGAAAGATTAATATAAGCAGTTGTTTAATGCAAGGAAACTCAGCCCTTGGACCTATAACCATGTAGTTCTATATGAGCATCTGTATAAGAGTACAGCATGGTTGAGAAATACCTAGTTCTTTACTAAAATAAATCCACCTCTACACATTTCAAAACTGAATTTGAAACCTATAAAAGACCAACTGACTTTTTAGTTGAAATGAACCATAAGTGATTTTGCACGGTTGACACACCTGTGTGTACTGTAGGCGGCCAGGACTTGGCAGAGGATGTATTCTAGGTGTACTGGTGTACATAGAAATGGTAGTGTGCTTTGTCTATGGATTCCACATTCAAAAACAACATAAGAGTTTTTCTGAATAATGGTTTTACAAAAACCATTATTTACACAATTTATATAAGAAAATACAATTTTAATCAAAATTTTAGTGAATATCAAAACTGCTTTAAAATTCTGTATTTCTGGAGTACCTATGAAATCAAATGACTACATCATGTGAAATATTTATTTTTTTCTTTGATTATGGAATAGCCGTTTTTATTTTAAATAAAATTCCACTATTTTTAAGAAATTCAGGGAAGATTTGGTCACACTGAAGATGCAGTATTTTTGTAGTATTTATAAACGGTCCTAAATGATAGACTGTAGAAAGCACTTTTGTTATATGAGGGTAAACCAGTCAATTACATAGATCATTTGACTCTGTGAACATGAGACCTACTGGGTTTTAATTTACAAAGTGGCACAGACTCTACCTTTGCACTGAAGCATTTTGTATCTCCTCTGCCGTGGTCACGGTGGCAACAGTACAGAAGTTTCTGTCAAACCTCAGAATATAGTAGAAATAATTAAGCTGTTGAATGAGTCTTAAAAATCATACTACTGTTAAGTGGACCAAGTTTGGTGAAGCAGAATGTGACAGAGGTTGATTAAGGAAGGAACAACTCAAGGACATTGGGGACGATAACTTTTCCACTTGAGAACTACTTTATGTTTTACTGTAATTTTAAAATTTTTTTGTTCTGTTTGTTATTTTGCAAAAGAAAATAGTATTTACAGTTGGCTTCTTTTAAAATATATAAAGCAGGAATGTATATGAAATGTCAGATTTTATTGTATTTGCAGAGAATTAGCTTTGAAATTGAATAAAGAAAGCTGTTTGTAGTTTTAAAATGCCTTATTGGTATCAATTAGAAATTTCTTCTATTTTTTGATGTACTTAGAGCTTTTTGAGTATAGAATTTTAAATAGCAGGATTTTACAGTGTTTACATGCAAGTGCATTTTATAAGTGTTCTATATGTGTAAAATAGTATTTTCAACTGGAAAGTGTTGGCTAGTGCCGAAGGCCTGGCCTTTTCCTGGTTCCCATGATGTTGCCCACACTGCTAGACTACAGTTTAGTATTGCTTTGTATCATGAGGCCAAGAAAAATTCCATGTTGTTTGTAAATAGAACAATTGAAAAAGCAATAAACATTTATTGAACAAAAGAAACTTTGGCCCAGAGTTTATGTTGAACCAAATTGTTCATAAAAATTTAGATTTCTTTAGATTCATTTCTGGTAATCATCAGTTATTAATAATCACATCCATCATTAATAGCTGCTTTAATGCTTGCATCTGAGAGAATACTAATGCTTAGTAGCAGTCAGATACTGATAACTGCACTGACTGTTTCAAAGTTCTGTAGACCGGACTATTATTCATTGTCTTCCAGTTTCCCTCATTGAGCTACTAACTGTTAGCTGTTAGTTATATTTTATTTCTATTTTTTTCCTGTTAACCAGTTTTTTTGTGGGAGAGGGCTCTCCTTCATTTGTTCAAATCATGATATGAAATTGTCATGATTTTTATTGTATTCTGTAGATGGTGTCAATCAGTTTGTCAGAATTACACATGCTTTTTTTTATTAGTTGTAATTAGTTTTTCATGTTGTCATTAAGCCGTCACTAGCTGAGACTAATCTCTTCTCTATCTTTTCTTTTCTTTTTTTTTTTTGTTTTGTTTTTTGTTTCTAACCACCCAGCCGCCACCGGCAACTAACCTATGACCTTCTGACCTCTGAACTCTTCACCCAATGATGACCTGACCATGCCTGCCTGCTGATCAGTTAACTGGTAATCGCCTTTGCTTGCCTGTCGTCAGTGCAGCGAGCTGAGGCACTTGTCCGTTCGTCTTACCATCTAACCAAACAAAAGACAAAGAAATTGTCCTCCAACTCAGCTTTGTTTTTTTGTTTTTTTGTTTTTGTTTTTTCCTGTTTGGGTGAAAATGGTTCTAGAACCTGCACTGAATAGTTGTAAAGCAATAAGGCCCAATTCATCCCGCAGCACTGATCATCTTTAATGTCCCACCCTAAGCGAACGGTAAGAAGGCCTCACTTCAGGAGGGGAGACAGATGGCCCTTAACTCCTCAGTGACAGGCAGTTACTGTGAGAGACCTTCCTAGGAACCCTTTCTTCTCATAGGCCCAGCTCTGAATGCACTGTGTGCTGATGCATCATGCATGAACCTGCGGTCAGGGGTGTCATTGGTGAAGTGGTTTCGAAAAGTATCCACAATTCGATATGCTGTTTAGTCACTACAGTGCCCTCGGAGGGCAGCGCAGCCTGTTCTGCCGCCTGCCAGAGTGGGGTGTGCCAGGAGGAAGACTTGAGGAACTGTGAGGAGTGATGCCAGGACACACTGCAGCACTGCTTTTAGAGAGAGAAATATCTGAGTTCAGATGAACCTTTATTTTACAGCTCCTTAAAAATACACGAGAACAAGGTACATGCATTATGTGTCGCGTTACTGGGCAAACTGTTCATATGTTTTTTAAACCTCCCTGTATAGAAAAATCATTAAGGATGTAAAAGCCATGCTCCCTACTTGCTGTACACACGTAATGAATTGTAGATAGAGTGCAGTGCATCGAACAAATGACAAAAGTAGATACTTTTACTATACAAGGGTGCTGGTGCAGAAAAAATATATATATTTTTGGAAATGTAGCATTTTATACTTTCAAGTGTTATAAAAAAAAAAGAAAAAGAACAAAGAAACCCTTTATTTCATTAAATGATTTTTTCTGGTGGTTGTCAAGAAACAAAAGACCAAAAGAGCCTTTTTGTCTTTCTTTTTTATTTTTTAAGTATTGGAACAAGTCTAAAGAAAAGGAAGTGCCTTATTTTTCTTCATGGTCATTTAGTCACGTGTCTCGTGAGACCAGCCCCTCCCTCGGAGCACACGGCAGTGCATGTTCCTCCCTCGGAGCACACGGCAGTGCGTGTCCCGTCGCCCAGTATACGAGAGCCCTGAGGGCCAGTGAGCTGATGGTTTGAATTGTATGGTTTTTGCCACGTTACCTTGATACAAATTTGCCAAATCTGATACTGTGAAAAAAAAATTAATAATTTTTCTAATGCCTGACACGTAAGTTTTAAAACGTCATTCTTTTAAAATCATAATTGATTGCTTTTGGTTATTGCAATATTTAATGTTACCCCAAAGGATTCTGAGATAAAAATTGTGTAATTTGAACATCGGTTTACAGACAGAATTAGAGCTTTATTTTATTCAGAGGGTGTATGTTAGATTCTTACTATTTGAAGATTAATATTATACTTAACAAATGTTTTCACAAAAATGAATTTTTTTTAAATTTTCATTCTGCAAAAGAATGTTTTTTAAATGACCCAAATTTTATCAGACTTCTTTCTGCCATACCAGATCACTTGGGTTGTCCCTCCCCTTGCTGGTTGTAATAACCGGATCTGTCCCATGCATACCCCACCTCCAAACTTTTTTTTTTTTACTTTAAAAGAATGTGAAAAATTAGCATCATTGTGCATATAAATACTGAGCTACATATGAGTTTAAGCTCCCAGTTTCTCATGAAGTTCAATTAGTTTTGTAGTTGAAGTGATATGTGCACAGAGCCTACATTTATCTGAATACTCAAGTCATCATTAACTGCTCAGTACCAGATGTGGCAAATATCGAGGGGCAGTGGGGTCCCCAGCTCATCAGCTCATTCCCTCCTACATACCTGCACAGTCCAAGGTCAGCAGAAGCTCAGTAAGCACCTTTGAGGTGACCTCTTCCATCATCTTGTCTCACTTGGAAACCGTTTTCAGTTTATTTACTATGCAATAGACATTCATTGTTTTGTAGCAGCTAGCTAGCTTTGGTTTAATGTGCCACCGCGTTGTCCTTCTGTTACACAGACAGTTGTTTTTGATTTATTTACAATATGTGCTGTGCCATTTTGATTTTGATTTTGTTTGGTTGGTTGAATAAATTTGCGACACTCAAACACTTGAGGTGATAGTAGTTTAAAAACAATACCAGTATTTGATCCAGTTTCATCTCAACTATGTTATACCTGGACATTTTAGATGTTTATCAAAGGTCTTAAGGGGAAGAAAGTAAATGTATGAAATAGATGTGTGACATTTATGAGTAATGTTGGCTCTGAACACACTTTTGAAAACTTGGTTGAAACAGTTTTGGATCAACTGAAAATAAGCATGACTTTTGAAATCTCTGAATGCCTTGGTTCTCAGTATTATCATTCTTTATTGAATTTATTTCTTATTAAAATATGTAGTTTTTAAGACTTGTTTTGACAGTATTATGTAATTTTGTAGCTGGGTAGATGGGAGTGTCGCTTGTATGTTGCGTACAGCTGACATGTATTTTTGTCTGTTCTTTATTATCTTAGTAGTTTCATGCTCTGTATGTACCATAACCAACCTATTGCCTATGAGAAACATGTAAGATAATGTATTTACAGCCATTGTTACAAGTTTATAATGTATTTTTCTATCTTGTTTTATATGTATGTTATATAACATTCAAAAAGAATTTTTTTCTTGATTGAGAAAAGGATACAAAATGCAAAATCCACAATTTTGATAACTGAAAATTGCCAATTGTTTTGCAGTACTTTATTATATTGGGTGTCTTGTCTTTCTTGGGCTTTTTAGTTAGCTAATGAATGAATACATTAGATATTTTTGGGTTTAAGTTGGGATTTTACATAGCTTGCATTTTAATTCTTTGGTTCTTTGCTGTTTCTATTAACCCATGGCATTATTTTAATAAATGTTATAATACCAACCTACTAACTCTGGACTATGTCTGTTTATTAACCTTTACGTGTTTAATAAAATAAACAAAGACAAAAGAATGTTAAGTCTTGAGTTACTGGACTAACCTTGAGGAACGTGACCACAGATAACATAGTGTGACTTGTGTTCTGTGTTTGTCAGCTGACAGTCCCGCACACGACTGTTACAGTGGCTTTGTTTCTTCTCTCACGTGGCGCGGGTAGGGCCGCAGGGATGGCAACAAGGTAGCTGTGGTGTGAGGCAGTCTTCTTCTGGTCTTGCCACTTGCCTTTCCGCCTCTGCATTACTAATTCCACACTTCTGACCTTCTTTTCTCCAAATAATCACTGTCCGCTCACAGCATTGAGAGTAAGAAGATCCATTGTAATGGTATACCCCAAGAAACCGGTTCGATTCTGTGTTGAACCATTTCTTTTCATTTCTACTAGTAGGTAATATTATGGTTTCATTATAAAGCAAAGAATCTGCTGATGTTTTGTCCTTTAAATTGGACTTTTTTCTTTTATAAAGTGTTGAGCTGTGTTAGCCAGCTGCTTCTGTGGGGGACGCTCCGCACAGGCAAAGCCAAAGGAAGAGCGGCCCTGGTTCTCACGCCCGCGCAGAGTGAGCCATTGACCCCGCGGGCCACCCACGGAGCGCAGTCAGACGGCAGACTCAGGTGTCCTTCCTCGCACCCTCGCACCCTCGCCTGGAGTGCAGTCAGTGTGACATTAATCAGGAACTCGAAGGGACGAGAACACAGGCATTGGGAAAATTATGAAGTTCTTGCATGCAAGTCAATTTAAAAGGATTTATTAAATATGTTCATGCTTTCCTTGGCTGCAGCTGAGGTAAATTGACCTCTACTTATGAGTTCATTAGTTCACCTCTTGAAGTGCATTTTTATTTCACAGGTTTGTTAATTTTCTTTTCTGTGAAACATCTCCTGGATACTAAAAAATTCTTAGGATGAATTTTTTGCACTCGGAAACAATGGCTTATTTTTGTACATTTTATTTATTTTCAAGTTCTAAAATTGGACCGAAATGAGTCACATGCTGTAGAAGCCTCAACTGTACCAATGTGCTTTAAACTGATCAGACTGTCAGTTTCCTCGTGGGTGTGTCCCGTAGTGTCCATGCATATGTAGTGCATAGGATGACACAGGCTGATCGGCTCACGATGGAGGTGGTCCTTCGGGTGGAACGAAGTGAGTGCTCTTGGGGACGGGGGTGTCGTTAGGGAGGCAGAGCTTTGATTGCTGCCGTCTTGCCACACAGTTCCTGCGTCACCCCGTCTGGCTGGCGCGAGGCCGCTGGGGTGCCGTGTCACTGAAGGTGATGACTGCACGTTCTCCGAAGCCTGTGCGTGAGCCTCCTCTCGTGGTTAGTCAGGGCCCTTGACGTATAATCCCGTCACGTCGCCACTTTTACGCTGGCGAAGGTGGAAACTGCATTGTACACATCCCGTCTGTCTTCAGGCTGTAACGACATTAAACATGAAACTACTGAATTCTTAGAATGAAAAGACGCTAGTGTCAGCGTATTTTTGTTCTACTGTTTGTTAAAACAGTTGAAACTTAAGCTTTCAGTCAAGAAGTTGAAGTGAATGTACTTAGTAATTAAGCATTTTTCTCTTAGGGAAAACGTAGCAAGACAGTAGTCACCCACATATGCCCAGTGCGGTCCCATGGAGCCGGGTTGCACTTGTGTGGGTACAAAGTAGGTAAGTAGGCAAGGTCTCCCAAGTAAATGCTCGGTAAGTAGGAAGGAGCCACGGAGTTCCTGGTGTGCGCGCAGCAGATGATCGTTTAGGTGAAAACGCTCATTATCAGATCGAGTCCTCCCAGGAAAGCTTGACACTTCAGTGTGCGAGTCAGCTTGCTCCGGTTCTCTCTGGTGGGGAATTTGCTTGTTTGGAATAAGCTGTCTGTCTCTATTCCTTGATAACAGTTACAGTATTTATGGCAAGTGATTTTTAGTAGGATGAAATGTATTGCTGAATTATCTATTTAGTAGCAAAAACCACTTAGAAAATATTTTGGATTTACAAACTTTCTAAGTAGACATAAAGTAATTTTTTAAAACAGTTACGACCTCCTTAATACCTTTATTTAGAAGTGGAAAAATAATTCGTTTTAGATACAACACTCACACACACACTCATCTGTGGTTTCTTGAATGTACAATCTGAATTGAAATACCTTTGTTATGTA